GACCTTCATGTACCTGGATATTTATATTGTTCTCCAGGTTTAGAAAGTTTGGTTCTTTCTTTAAATAAGCTTGCTACCTCTTGTCTTTCTCAGTTCTCTCTTTAACTCCACTAACCCAAATATTTGCTCTTTTGATGTTGGTCAATAGGTCCCATAAGCTTTGTTCATTCCTTCCCATTCTTTTTTTTTCTCTTCTGTGTATTTTCTTTTCTTTTTTTTCTGTTTCTTTTTCTTTTTTTTTTTTTTTTGAGACAGAGTTTTGCTCTGTCACCAGGCTGGAGTGCAATGGCATGATCTTGGCTCACTTTAATCTCTGCCTTCTGGGTTCAAGCACTTCTCCTGCCTCAGCCTCCCGAGTAGTTGGGACTACAGGCATGTGCCACCACACCCAGATAATATTTTGTATTTTAGTAGTGACAGGGTTTGGCTGTGTTAGCCTGGATAGTCTCAATCCCCTAACCCCATGATCCGCCTGCCTCAGCCTCCCAAAGTGCTAGGATTACAGGCATGAGCCACTGTACCTGGCCCTGACTGTGTATTTTCAAATAGCCTGCCTTTGAGCTCACTGATCCTTTCTTATTTTGATCAATTCCTCTGATATTCTCTATTGCATTTTTTTCATTTCATTCATTGCATTTTTTACCTCCAGAATTTAATTTTATTTTTTAAATATTTCTGTGAACTTTCTCTGAGAGATTTCTCTGAGCTTTCTCGAAGTTCAATGAGCTTCCTTAAAACTATTGTTTTGAATTACTTGTCCAAGAGATCACACATTTTCATCATTTTAGGGCCAGTCTTGGTGCCTTACTTTGTCCCTTTGACATTCTATTTCCCTGACTGTTCTTGATGCTTGAAGTGTGATGATATCTGCACAGTGAGAGATTAAATACTCATTTGAGTCTTCCTAGTCTGGCTTGCTTTGTACCTGTACTTCTACAGAGGGCCTTCCAGGGATTCTAAGTGTTGATTCTGACTATCGTGTTCCCTTTCTGTGATCACCACAGTCATCTCAGCACTAGACGATGCTCTATACCCAGGCTTGCTATGAGTCTCACAAGGGCTCTGCGGTTTTTGTGGCTTTCTGGCCCAAATGGACCTGGGGAAGACCCAAGGACAATGCTTGTGTTATATGGGAACACTGACCCCAGGAACCTGAGTCCTGAAGACCGTCCTAGTGGCCCAGACAAGTTTACTTCCAAGCAGGTCTCTGCATAGGTTGGGTCCCCAGCTATAGCAAGAGGGGCAGAAGTTGAGACTAGACCCTTTCGGAATCTGCTCTGGGAAGGAGGCTGATGGGCCTTTCTCATTGGCTGAGACAGGCCCGTGTTACCCAGCAAGTCTCTGTACAACTGGAGTCGTTTCTTACCCATACCAGGAGGAGCTAGATCCAAGACCGGGCCTCTTCAGGTCTGCTATGAGATGGAGGCTGGCATGCCTGCCACATTGGCTGAGATGCGCATGCATCTTCTAGTAAGTCCCTGCATAGACAGGATAGTTCCCCAGCTATCATCAAGAACTGGAGTAGAATCCGGGCCCTCGTAGGAACTCCTGTGAAGACAGATACCAAAGGGCTCAGTCTCGGCTCAGAGGGGTGTGTGTCACCCAGCAAGTTCCTGTACAGATAGAATAGTTACCGGACTGCAGAGAGAGGGTCTGGAGCTATGACTGGGCCCTCTTGGGATAGAAGCTGGAGAGCCCAGTCTTGTATCTGAAGGCGTGTTTCCCAGGAGGACACCGCATCAGTAGACAGTTCCATGACTGCAGCGGGAGGTGCTGGACAGGGCTCCCTGCAGGTCTCAGCACAAATGGGATAGTTCTTCCACTGTCTTCAGGCTCTTTTGTCTAATATTGGTAGATCCACTCCAACTCTTATGGTTGCTGTTTGCCTTATCTACACTTATATGTTTATTTACATTTGAAGTGCATTTCTCATAGGGAGCATATAGTAGAGCCTCACTTTTTAATCCAATGTGATGATTTTTGCCATTGAATAAGGGTACTGTAGACTATTTACATTTAATATGATTATTGATACAGTTTGGTTCGGAATATTACTGTTCTGTTTCCTATTTGTCCCATCTGATCTTTGTCCTCTTTTTTATCTGCCTTCTTTTGGATTTATTAAACATTTAAATGGTTCCAATTTCTATCTTTTGCTGGTTTATTAGCTGTTGCTTTTTATTGTTTATTGCTTTAGTGTTCATAATACATGTTTAAGTTACCACAATCTAATTTCAAGTGATATTATGGCCCTTCTATAAGGAATAAAAACCTTACGATAGTGTAATTCCATTCCTCTCCTCTGACTTTTGTGCTACTGTAATCAAGTGTTTTAATTTTACGTGTGTCATTCACACATCACATTGTGATTTTTGTTTTAACAATTATCTTTAAAAGAGATTTAAGTAATAAAAATTACACAGTTACCCATGTGGTTATCATTTCCAAATCTCTTCATTCCTTTGTCTATATTCCTTGTGTTTTTTGCTTATGGTAAATTCTTTTAGAGTTTTTAAGTCCAAAAATATCTTTATTTCCCTTTTGTTTTGGAGTAATACTTTTGCTGGATGTATATTTCTAACTTGACAGTTTTTAGTAATTTTAAAACATTGCTCCACTGTATTCTCACCTGCATTATTTCCAGTGAGAAATCTGCCATCATCCTTATCTTTGTTCCTTTATATGTAATGTGCTTTATTTTCCTGTGGCTTTTTTCAAGATTTGTCTTTATTTCACTGGTTTTGAGCAGTTTGATTATAATATGGCTTGATGTAGTTTCTTTATTTCTGCTTGGGGCTCACTTAGCTTTTTGGATACATGGGTTTATGACTTTCATTAACTGTGGGGAATTTTTAGCCATTATTTTTCTCAAATATTTTATTTGTATCATACTCTGTGTCTTCTCCTTTAGGAGCTCCAATTACAGATATTTGGACACTTAAAGTTGCCCTACAGCTCTTTTTCTGTTTTTTGTTTTTTTTTTTTTTTGTGAGTATTTTTTTTTTAATTTTCCCTGTAAATTTTATTCTGAGTCATTTTATTGCTAGATCTTCAAATTTGCTGTTTTTTCATTCTGCAGTATCTAATCTGCCATTAATCTCATCTAGTGTTTTTTTTTTTAATCTTATATATTGTAGTTTTTATCTCTAGAGGTTCCATTTTGTGTCTTTTTAAATATATATTACATGTTTCTACTTCACTTTTTGAACATTTGAAACACAGTTGGAATAACTTTTACTAAATAGCTGTTTCTGTCAATTCTAACATCTATTCTAGATGTTGGTTGGTTGGTTTCAATGATCTCTTCATTATGGGTCTCATTTTCTTAAGTCTTTACATGCCTGGTTGGTTTTTATTGAGGGTTGAGGGCTGGATATCTTTGTACTTTGTAAATATTCTTAAGTTTTGTTTTAGGATATAGTTGCGTTACTTGGGAACAGTTTGATCTTTTTTTTTTTTTTTTTTTGCTTTTAATATGTATAACGTGGGATCAGGTCCATGCTCAGTCTGTGGCTAAGTATGGGAAATACTTCTGGGTATTCAACCCAATGCCCTGCGAATCTTGAAGTTTTCCAGACTGGCTGTTAGGAAGTGGCACTATTCCTGGCTCTATGTGAGTGCCGTGCAGCACTATCTCCAGTCTTTTTAGGTGGTTAATTTCTGAGCCTTGAAAATAGTTTTCTCACATGAATGTTGTGTTAGTCCCTTTTGCATTGCTGTAAAAGAACACCTGAGGCAGGGTAGTTTCCAAAGAGGTTTATTTTGCTCATAGTTCTGCCGGCGATGCAAGAAGCGTGGCACCAGCATCTGCTTCTGGTGAGGCCTCAGGAAGCTTCCGATGATGGTGGAGGGTGAAAGGAGGGCAGGCATGTCACATGTCACATGTCACATGGCACGAGAGGGAGCAGGAGAGAAAGTGGGGAAGGCGACAGCCTCTGTTAAACAACCAGCTTTTGCATGAACTTGAAGAGCAGGAACTCACTCATTACCATGGGAAGGGCACCAAGTGTTCACGAGGAATCCACCCCCAAGACTCAAACATCTCCCACCAGGCCCGTCTCCAACACTGAAGATCACATTTCAGCATACGGCCTGTGTCCTCAGTGTTGGACCCTGGTGGGAGGTGTTTGGGTGATGGGGGTGAATGGCCCATCTCCAACATTGAGGGTCACATGTCAACAGGAGATATGGAGGACACGGACATCTAAACTATATCAGATGTGCTCCCAGTCCTCAGCTGAGCCCTTGAGGGTCCTCCTGCAGATCTCTGGAGTTCTCTCCTCAGCAGCAGTCTGTCTTGTAAATTGTTGGCACCTTGGTCTCCCTGAACTTCAGCAGTGGATGTGCTCATGGGCAACTTACTTAACTTTTCGGAACTGTAATTTTCTCATCAACAAAGAAAGGATAATAGTATTGAGCTTATGATTTTATCATGGGAGCTGAATGAGACTGGTGTTTGTGTACCGCCTGGCACTTGGCAGATACTCAGCAAATATTTGGGTCTTCCCTGTCTGCACCTCGTTGTTTCTTCCTGATTTTTGCCTTGGGTTTGCAACCCGATTCCTGGCTGAGCTTTGGGTTGGGTTCTGTGAAATGATCAACCAAAGCAGGTAATCACTCAGGAGCCATTCAGGTTTTAACCTGATGAGTTTCAGAATTCTGCTGTTCAAGTGACATTCGGGGAGAAACGTATCCTCCTTTAATTAGACATCGATTTTCTCCGAAATCTCATTCAGTCCAGCCTACAAGGATCATCCGGACTCATTTGTTTGCAGTATGAATGTCGCGGACTCTAGAAGGTCTGGCGTGTGGGGGAAGAATCTGCGAGAACCAGCGCTTCCGGAACCCAGCCTGGCTCTGCTGGCGTTTCCTACTGGGTCGTGAACTTCAACCTTTTCCGTCCCCTTTTCATTGTTCCTCAGATTTCCCAAGGAGCTGCATGCAGAGCAGATGAGTGTCAGAACGTAACCACTTCTCTTTTGTCTTCTCTCCCGTGGTAGTGTCTGGAGGTCGCAGTCGTCTGCATCTCATCGATCTCGGCAGCTGTGTGAAAGCACTTAGCAAAAATCGGGACGGAGGCTCAGGGCTGTGCCTCTCACTGTCTGCTCTGGGCAATGTCATCCTGGCACTCGTCAATGGCAGCAAACACATCCCATACAAGTAAGTGACTCTTCTACTCAAAGAAGGCGGCGGGGTCAGCCTGGTGTGGGACGCTTGGTTCGGTGCCATCTCTGAGGTGTGCCACAGAGGGACAGTCTGGATTTCATTACAAGTTCAGTGCCAGAGGTCAGCCTTGGCTAACAGCTGTGTAACAGATGATTTTCCAAATTCAAAACTTTTGGAAATACTGAAATCTATTCCAGTTCTGACTTTAGGCTGCTCAAATGAGAGGAAGTAGGAAATTGTCTCAGTCGAGGTCTCCACTTGCCACTGAAGATCATTGTCACCGTAATAAAGAGGCATCTGTTTCATATTGATGAGAGTGAGGGAGAAGCCTGGCTCACCCTTGGGGGTAGGGCCACCAGACTTAGCCAAAAGAATGTATAGGATATCCAGCATGTTTGAATTTCAGATAACCAGCAAATAAGATTGCATTGTAAGTATGCGCTTCTACATTGCACGGGGCACTCCTGGCATCACGTATTGTGTCTGGCAACCCTACCTAGGGCGCTTAGAAAGCTTGGGAAGCTACCACCCACCTTCCCATGCAAATGTCCATTGACTTCCAGGATCCCTCCCTCTCTTTATTACTGCCCCAGGACAGTCACATTACAGCCGCTCCTATGTCTGGCAGAGACAAAGCCACTCTTCACCACCGTCACCCCAAATCAGTGTTGTCATTGGACAGTGTGGTGGGCGCTTGGATGGCTGTCCAGGCTCCTTCCAAGGCCCAGCAGAGCCTCGTACCAGCTGCGTGAGCGTCCATTCTTCTAAAATGAGGGCTAGAGCTGCATATGTTGCTTACATCACAGACACAGAAGGCTCAACATGATAGAACATGTATACACGTGTATTATACTTCTGACCAGTAACCAATGATGAAAGTCTGGTTAAACCTCTCTGGTCAAGCCTGTCCTCACCTATTGAAATGGAAAAAACACTGACCTTATGGAGTTGCTGTGAGGATTAACTAAATATATGTAGATTCATGGTTTATCTGTAAAAATCCTACAAAATGTAAGTTACCATCATGTGGGAGGAAAAAGTCAGGCAGTGCATTCTGTCATTACCGAGATTCAGCATTGCTGGAGTTTCCCTTTTCCTCTGCCCTCTGTCGCTGCCAGACCCCCCAACAAATATACTGTGAGTTCCTTTTTTACCAGGAGACCATTACTGGACTGACTTTAGGCGCTTAAATGGTGATTATAATCCTGTCCATCTCAACTCTTGAAATTTGCAAATCCTAGTTGGATAAACACAGAAATGGTTTTCCCAGCTCTCCTAACAACCCTTTTCTATGGGGAAATTTCGAGTTGAAGAATTGTAGAGTTCCATTTGATGTCATTTCTGTAGTTGAAGAAATTCAACTTGTGGGGGGAAAGGGCAGGGGAGGGAAGCCGCTGGAGTTGGAAATGAGGGGAAGTTATTGGCTCTTACTGGTTTCCATAAAAGGAGAATCGGGTCTGTTAATGCCGTGACTTCATAGATCGTGATGTAGATAAAATTCCAAATTGCGCCTTGTTAGGGGGTCGTCGATTACATATTTTACTTATAGCTTTTACAGTTTCTGCAGGGCGACATGCTTTTATGATCTCTCTAAGTAGCTGTTGAATTGACAGTGGGAAAGATGAATGTAAACATATGAAATTATTTTTAATTTAAATGAACTAACTTCCTTTTAGTTAGAGTTGGGTTTTATTATAAATGGGTAGGGAAATGTTACAAATTCTTTCATGGCCCAGCGTGGTGGCTCATACCTGTATTCCCAGCACTTTGGGAGGCGGAGGCGGGCGGATTGCTTGAGCCCAGGAGCTTGAGACCAGCCTGGGCCACGTGGAGAAAACCTGTCTCTATAAAAATCAGCTCTGCGTGGTGTTGCATGCTTGTAGTCCCAGCTACTCGGGAGGCTGACGCGTTGCCTGAGCCCAGGAGCCAGAGGTGAGTTGAGATCACGCTACGGCACCAGCCTGGGCAACAGTGTGAGACCCCATCTCAAAAAAAAGTTTGGATTTACTGTTGAAGCCTCTTGTTAATTATGCATATTTTTAACAACAGCTGGCCACTTGCCCTCCCGGGTGACACACTCCCAGTCCCTGCAGACAGCTGCCTGCCTTCATTCCTGGAGTCCCTTCCTTCTATTCAGGCACTGAGAGAATGATCATTAAAGTGTTTCTGTGTCTCAAGTAAGCACAGACTAACATCCATGCTGTATCATCACAAGACCCAGTCCTGGAGCCGTCCCGTGGCCTGGTTGGGCTCTTGGTCACAGGGATATAGACCATCACCAGCTGCCCTAGCCCTGCTGTGCCTCACACCTCATGGAGACCTTGCTGGGCCGCCTGGTGCCGGAAACATGGTGGCCTGGCCATGCAGCCAGCGCCGTCCTCCCCGCAACATCCACCGGCCGGTGCATTTGTTCCATCATCCCTCCGTGTCCTTAACGTCCTTTATTGTGTGTGATCCTGAAAAGACCCTTGCCATAATGTTTTCCCCAGCCTGGCCACCGCCTAGGTTCGATATTTGGCATCTGCAAATTTACATTTGCAAAGTGATTAGTCCACTAGAAACTGTCCTCTTTTGAGGTACAGGAAGATAAGGCGATGCACTCAAGTCACCCAGCCGGTGGGTGGCAGGATCAAACTGCCTCCTCCTCACAGCTTCAGAGGCCCTGACAGCCCCCGCCGCCCTGCAGACCCAGCCCCCTTCTCTGCAGGCTCTGTAATGCAGGCGCTGCCTATGCTCAGCACAGCAGGGGAGCCCAGCACAGCAGGATAGCCCCGGCTTCTTTTATCAAGTCCGTGAGCACTCTGAAGCCACATTAGGCGGTGTTTTGTTAGCTTTCAGAGTGTCAAACCTTGTCTTTGCCATGGGTTCCTTAGAGAAGGGGAAGCTTCCTACACGTTTGGCTTCCTCTTACTCCTCCTGCTCACCTACAAGGGGAAAAACATCAAAAACGAAATTCTGCATTCTGTCCCCTCGCCGCCCCTCCGAAACACAGACACCCCGCTACCTCCTCGCCTGTCTCCCCAGGCAGCTCTGTGCTTGGCACCTGCGCAGCACGTGCTTGCTTCTGGGAAATTCGCTGGAATGTGCACAGAGGGCTGTAGCCTGCCTTCATTCCTCCCCTTCACTGTATCAGACTATTTGTCACGTGAGCAAGCTGGAGTGAGTCTGGATTCATTACCCGTCCCAGGTTCTCCCACAGGACTCCTCCGTGTGCGCCGATTGGTTCTGACTTTGCAAATGATATTGCCCTTGAAGATGCAAGAGGCGCGGAGCAGATTCCTGACCTCAGCTGTTCGGTGATCCTAAGCAGTGGGACCGTTCAGGAAAGCATGCAGGGAGGGCAGGGAACCTCCAAGGGCTCCACCCGCGTCAGTTCTGCGCTGACAGGCTGCACAAATTCCTCTCTAATTTTTGGGAGCTTCCATGTCCAGGGAACCCTGCCCTCATCCGAGCATTTTGACAGTGCATTTGCACATTTTCTCTCACCATTCATTTGTTACGGTCATTTGCTATTCCTTTCCGCTCTTGGCAGCAAGGTGCAAGGAGTCTTCCTATTTAATGGATGTGACTTCTCAGGCTGAACCCAGTGTCCCAGGCACATACCACCGGAGCGGGCCCCCAGAAGGGCCACCCCAAGGATCTGTCAAGGTGAACTGGGCTCAGGCTAAAGGGTGTTATGTCCCAGCTCATCTGAAGGACCACAGCCTTTCTAGATGCAAATTCTAACCATGACCCAATTCTCTCAAAATAGAATTTCTGGTTCTCTTCGATGTGGCCTTGTCAAGAGCACAGACCCTTAGGAAGTACACCTGTCAGACAGGGCTCCTACAAGCCTTGAGGCCTTTACCTTCATTTATGACTGTCACTCCTCATGGAGAAAGAATCCCTTTAATGGGTCATGGGACCTATTTGCTTATTTGCCAACAGGGTGTTTCTAAATAGCAGTTAGTTGTTGTCTTGGCTGCCTTTAACAAGAGCTCAGGGAAAGTCATCCTGGGACCCTCTCATGTCGCGTCTGTCTGAGATGCTTCTCCCCGTCATCTTGAACAATGGTCCTCCTAACCATCCCATGGTGGACATGATGCCCGGCTCCTCCCTCTTCCGGGCACGGTCTGTGCTCCAGACCCAGACCTAATCCTTTTTTGTCGAGATCCATCACTGAGGCACATTGGGTTTCAGCAGCCGTGCTGAGCTCGCCGCCTCCTCTCTCTGGTGGAGTCAAGGGAGCAGGCGGGTGGAGCCTGAGGCATTTGTGATCCCGAGCTGCAGGCCTCCAGCAAACACCGCAGGCAGCGACCGCTTCCGGAAGCCTGAGTCCCACAAAAGCCATGAGGACGCCCACCCTCAGGGGCTGTGATGGGAACTCTCTTCCTCCTAAGGCCCTAGAGAGGAGTCAGAACCAAGGCCATCTTTAAGCTCGTAGCATCGCGGCACAGCAGTTCATTCAAACCACAGGCAGCCGTGGGAGCTCAAGTTGAAGTCAGTGACTTGAAAGGGACCCTGAGTATTTACCCAAAGGATTGTAAATCACTCTACTATAAAGACACGTGCACACGTATGTTCATTGCGGCACTGTTCACAATAGCAAAGACCTGGAGCCAACCCAAATGCCCATCAAAGATAGACTGGATAAAGAAAACGTGGCACATATACACCATGGAATACTATGTGGCCATAAAAAAGGATGAGTTCTTGTCCTTTGCAGGGACATGGATGAAGCTGGAAACCATCATTCTCTGCAAACTGATACAGGAACAGAAAACCAAACAGCGCATGTTCTCATTCATAAGTGGGTGTTGAACAATGAGGATACATGGACACAGGGAGGGGAACATCACACTCTGGAACCTGTCGGGGGAAGAGGGGGGCTAGTGGAGGGATAACAGGGGATCAGGGGATAGGGGAGGGGATGGCGTTAGGAGAAGTAATGTAGATGACGGGGTGATGGATGCAGTCAACCACCATGGCAGATGTATACCTATGTAACAATCCTG